GCCACTCTTATAGCTGCCCCCCACACAGCCACTCTTACAGCTGCCCCCCCACACAGCCCCTCTTATAGCTGCCCCCCCACACAGCCACTCTTATAGCTGCCCCCCCACACAGCCACTCTTACAGCTGCCCCCCCACACAGCCCCTCTTATAGCTGCCCCCCCACACAGCCACTCTTATAGCTGCCCCCCCACACAGCCACTCTTACAGCTGCCCCCCCACACAGCCACTCTTATAGCTGCCCCCCCACACAGCCACTCTTACAGCTGCCCCCCCACACAGCCCGCTCGGCAGGCTCACGTCGCCTGTGTATCTCCTACATCACTCCACGTGGTCTCTGTATCTCCCACGAACCATGACACGTGGTCCCTGTATCTCTCCACCACACGTGGTGTATAGCTCTCGTGTTTGTGGCTTGGATATTATTAATGTATAAGCGACGTTTCGGGCAATGGACCTTCAGCATACATGGAATGTATCTCGTCTTGAGACGAGCAAGATCCAGACCAGCCGGACCCGGGCCAGCTGACCCGTGCCAGCCCGACCCAGACCCGTGCGAGCCCGACCCAGACCCGTGCCAGCCCGACCCAGACCCGTGCCAGCTCGACCCAGACCCGGGCCAGCCCGACCCAGACCCGTGCCAGCCCGACCCAGACCCGGGCCAGCCCGACCCAGACCCGTGCCAGCCCGACCCAGACCCGTGCCAGCCCGACCCAGACCCGGGCCAGCCCGACCCAGACCCGTGCCAGCCCGACCCAGACCCGGGCCAGCCCGACCCAGACCCGTGCCAGCCCGACCCAGACCCGGGCCAGCCCGACCCAGACCCGGGCCAGCCCGACCCAGACCCGTGCCAGCCCGACCCAGACCCGTGCCAGCCCGACCCAGACCCGTGCCAGCCTGACCCAGACCCGTGCCAGCCCGACCCAGACCCGTGCGAGCCCGACCCAGACCCGTGCCAGCCCGACCCAGACCCGTGCGAGCCCGACCCAGACCCGTGCCAGCCCGACCCAGACCCGTGCCAGCCTGACCCAGACCCGTGCTAGCCCGACCCAGACCCGTGCCAGCCTGACCCAGACCCGTGCCAGCCTGACCCAGACCCGTGCCAGCCCGACAGAGACCCGTGCCAGCCCGACCCAGACCCGTGCCAGCCCGACCCAGACCCGTGCGAGCCTGACCCAGACCCGTGCGAGCCCGACCCAGACCCGTGCCAGCCCGACCCAGACCCGTGCCAGCCTGACCCAGACCCGTGCTAGCCCGACCCAGACCCGTGCCAGCCTGACCCAGACCCGTGCTAGCCCGACCCAGACCCGTGCCAGCCTGACCCAGACCCGTGCCAGCCTGACCCAGACCCGTGCCAGCCCGACCCAGACCCGTGCCAGCCCGACCCAGACCCGTGCCAGCCCGACCCAGACCCGGGCCAGCCCGACCCAGACCCGTGCCAGCCCGACCCAGACCCGTGCCAGCCCGACCCAGACCCGGGCCAGCCCGACCCAGACCCGTGCCAGCCCGACCCAGACCCGGGCCAGCCCGACCCAGACCCGTGCCAGCCCGACCCAGACCCGGGCCAGCCCGACCCAGACCCGGGCCAGCCCGACCCAGACCCGTGCCAGCCCGACCCAGACCCGTGCCAGCCCGACCCAGACCCGTGCCAGCCTGACCCAGACCCGTGCCAGCCCGACCCAGACCCGTGCGAGCCCGACCCAGACCCGTGCCAGCCCGACCCAGACCCGTGCGAGCCCGACCCAGACCCGTGCCAGCCCGACCCAGACCCGTGCCAGCCTGACCCAGACCCGTGCTAGCCCGACCCAGACCCGTGCCAGCCTGACCCAGACCCGTGCCAGCCTGACCCAGACCCGTGCCAGCCCGACAGAGACCCGTGCCAGCCCGACCCAGACCCGTGCCAGCCCGACCCAGACCCGTGCGAGCCTGACCCAGACCCGTGCGAGCCCGACCCAGACCCGTGCCAGCCCGACCCAGACCCGTGCCAGCCTGACCCAGACCCGTGCTAGCCCGACCCAGACCCGTGCCAGCCTGACCCAGACCCGTGCTAGCCCGACCCAGACCCGTGCCAGCCTGACCCAGACCCGTGCCAGCCTGACCCAGACCCGTGCCAGCCCGACAGAGACCCGTGCCAGCCCGACCCAGACCCGTGCCAGCCCGACCCAGACCCGTGCCAGCCCGACCCAGACCCGTGCCAGCCCGACCCAGACCCGTGCCAGCCCGACCCAGACCCGTGCGAGCCCGACCCATACCCGTGCTAGCCCGACCCAGACCCGTGCCAGCCTGACCCAGACCCGTGCCAGCCTGACCCAGACCCGTGCCAGCCCGACAGAGACCCGTGCCAGCCCGACCCAGACCCGTGCCAGCCCGACCCAGACCCGTGCCAGCCCGACCCAGACCCGTGCCAGCCCGACCCAGACCCGTGCGAGCCCGACCCATACCCGTGCCAGCCCGACCCAGACCCGTGCCAGCCCGACCCAGACCCGTGCCAGCCCGACCCAGACCCGTGCCAGCCCGACCCATACCCGTGCCAGCCCGACCCAGACCCGTGCGAGCCCGACCCAGACCCGTGCCAGCCCGACCCAGACCCGTGCCAGCCCGACCCAGACCCGTGCCAGCCCGACCCAGACCCGTGCCAGCCCGACCCAGACCCGTGCGAGCCCGACCCAGACCCGGGCTATATTCGGCACTCTCGCTTTGTTGTTGTTGTTCATCTTCTTGGTTCTTTCGGTAAAGTGACGTAGCAGGGAAATAATAAAATAATAAAAATAAAACATAATAAAATAATATTTTATTATTTCCCTTTACGTGACTTTACCGAAGGAACCAAGAAGATGAATCCCTGCTGCAGTCACGAAAGAAGCTTCACATCGAAGTTTGTTGTCGTTGTGGCAAGTGCTGTCAGCGAGTGGCGCTGTGGCACACCAGGTAATGGGTGGTCAGCCCCGCGCCCGGCCGCCTTTGTCTCCCCAGTGGCGACGTTCACTCCACACCGCTACACCAGCTACTCAGTTGAGGCCGAGTCGACCTTGAAGCATCGAAGAGTGTGAACGTGACCACCATCACCACGTGAACACCACGTGAACACCACGTGACCACCACGTGACCACCGTCACCACGTGAACACCACGTGACCACCATCACCACGTGACCACCATCCTCCCTGCAGCGGCTTTTGGCTCAGCCATCATCATCAGATGCGCTTCTGTGGGGCCGTCCATAAATGACGTCACGCGATTTTAGACGATTTTTGACCCCCCCCTCGTCACAAAAGGTCAAACCCCCCTCAAATGACGTCACAAAGCTCTGCCCCCCCAAAATAAAAAATGATTCAAATCGCTTTAAACTATTGTCATTGTAGTGCGTATTTAATGTGGCGCTGCACTCTGATGTTGTAGGAGAAAACATTTATTACAAAGTCTATTTAATTAAGTAGAACGTGTTGTCTATATTTCTTTATTAAAGTTGCGCAATTTGATGTGACGTCACATTTCTCACCCCCCCCCCTCGTCACACATCGTCACAAATGTCTGACCCCCCCCCCCCCCAGGCGCGTGACGTCATTTATGGACGTCCCCTGTGGCCGTCTGGAACGCTCTTCCGATATTAGCAAGCCAGTGGTACTATGCACCTTCAAGTCATCGTCTCGGTTGACAAACTCACTCCGTGAGAACTTCCTGAGCGCTTCTTTAGTTCGTTGTCCTCCCTCCGCACCTCCGATTAGCACCGTCGGCTACGTACGGTGCGAAAGAGTTCAACAAACACGCCGAGGGGAGAGACCCAAGGCCGCTTCAGATAATCGTCGCTGGTGTTGGCGGCCGTGAGCAGGAATGGAACTCGGGTCGCCGCGTTCGCTCTGCACGACCGCCACCGCCGCCACTACCCCACGCAAACCTCTTCATTGGTGGGGCAGATTAAATAAGTATAACCCGTAAAAACAAAGTTTTTCACTATAAATCCTTTATATGCGTGGCAGCGAACTTAATATAAAGGATTTAAAAATATATTCGCCTGTGGAGGACGCGGGGATCGATCCCGCGACCTTTGGCATGGGAAGCGAGGGCGCTACCAACTGCGCTACTCCGCCACGGCCTGTGCAGGGGTTACGCTCTGGGCTCCTACACTGTGACGTTCAGCCAAAGCCATGAATTAGTTCTATTTGAATATATGTAAAATAAATTTTTTTGCCTAAAAAGTGTAAAATTTTGGGATTTTTTTTTCACGAACAATAATTGTCTGGCACAACGAGTCTGTGTGGAAAATGTCAGCTCGATTGGATCACGGGAAGTGGGTTAAAAAACGACCGAAAGATTTGCACGGTCCTAAGCAAGCAAGCAAGCACGCGAACTTAATATAAAGGATTAAAAAACACACTCACAGGCACGGAGTGAACTTTAAACTCGGTTCATATTCTTAGATTTTTTTCGGTAAAGTCACCATGTAGGTAAAAATGTAAAATTAATTAAAGTAAAATAAAATAAAAATCACGACGTTTCGGAGGCAACACAAGCTTCCGTCTTCAGGTGGAACCGTCACAGCCCGACAGCTGTATCAAGTAAATGAGAGATTGCAGGAGATACCACTCCGTATATATACTGGTTGAGGGGGGGGGGGGGAAGGGCCAGGACCGGCCCACTGTTTATTATCATGGTAAGGCGCGGCTTGAGACTCCGGCTAGATTACATAACAAATGAACCCCCCTCAACCATTATATATACGGAGTGGTATCTCCTGTAATCTCTCATTTACTTGATACAGCTGTCGTGCTGTGACGGTTCCACCTGAAGACGGAGGCTTGTGTTGCCTCCGAAACGTCGTGATTTTTATTTTATTTTTATTTTTTACCTACGTGACATTACCGAAAAAACCTAAGAATATGAATCCTTGCAGTCACGAAAGCTTCAAATCTAGAATTAAACTCGGTTGTTTGCAATTTCTCGATCCGAACCCATCCGCCACACTCCATGATTCTCCTCCACAAACCACTTGCTATCAATCACGATTCACCTTAACCCATTTTATTCGTACTTTATACATGTGTACAATATAAATACATCTACAAAGACAAAATAAAAGATCAGTCCTCTCTTTCTCACACACACACACGCGCGCGTGTCATCGTCCAATATTTCAGATTGGATTATTTTTGTCCGGTGCGAAATAAGTTCAACATACATGCGTGGGTCTGTGGGTCTCTGTGTGGGTCTGTGGGTCTCTGTGTGAGTCTGTGGGTCTCTGTGTGCGTCTGTGGGTCTCTGTGTGGGTCTGTGGGTCTCTGTGTGCATCTGTGTTTCTCTGTATGGGTCTGTGGGTCTCTGTGTGGGTCTGTGGGTCTCTGTGTGAGTCTATGGGTCTCTGTGTGAGTCTGTGGGTCTCTGTGTGAGTCTGTGGGTCTCTGTGTGAGTCTGTGGTTCTCTGCGTGCATCTGTGGTTCTCTGTGTGGGTCTCTGCGTGTTTGTGGGTCTCTGGGCCTGTGTGGATGTGGGCCTCTGTGTGCGTCTGTGGGTCTCTGTGTGCGTCTGTGGTTCTCTGCGTGCATGTGGTTCTCTGTGTGGGCCTTTGCGTGTGTCTGTGGGTCTCTGGGCCTGTGTGGATGTTGGACTCTGTATGGGTGTGTGGGTCTGTGGGCTTTTGTGTGGGTCTGTGGGTCTCTGTGTGGGTCTGTGGGCTTTTGTGTGGGTCTGTGGGTCTCTGTGTGGGTCTGTGGCTCTCTGTGTGGGTCTGTGGGTCTCTGTGTGGGTCTGTGGGCCTCTGTGTGGGTCTGTGGTCCTCTGCGTGCATCTGTGGGTTTCTGGGCCTCTGTGTGGGCCTGTGGGTCTCTGCGTGGGCCTCTGTGTGCGTTTGTGGGTCTCTGCGTGGGCCTCTGCGTGTCTGTGGGTCTCTGGGCCTGTGTGGATATGCGGGCCTGTGTGTGGGCCTGTGGGTCTCTGCGTGGGTCTCTGTGTGAGACTATGGTTGTGTGGTTCTCCAAAAGAGTCGTTCTCTGTGTAACTCTACGAGTCTGTGTGCAAGTCTGCAACACCAAAAGCAACCTCCCAATGCCTTTCAATTAAGACACCACATACACGTCACGCATTTCGTTCGACTAAATTCCCCGAATAAGTATGCATATCCTTTAGCAAAGGCACAAAACAATAATTTACTTGTGAACGCGTGAGCCTCAAGACCCCTTGTAAAGAGACTCCTGCCCCAACTGTTCGCTGTAGGCGTACAGTGATGATTGCTATTGGCGATCCCAAATGAATCATTTTGCGGAGTAATCTCTCAGCTGGAGGGGGGGGGGGGTGTTTGGTCCGACAGCTGTGAGAAGGCGCGTGGCGTTTTCGTTTTTGTGTTCAGCTACGGGACACGGAGAGAACACGCGAACCCCACAGTGGCCAGATGTTGACTACCTCGCCTGGTAGGCAGGAGGTCGTGGGTTCGATCCCAACCCTGACGCCTGCTGCTGCTGTATATTTGGAGTTTGCGTCTCTCTATCATCACGGTGGCTATGAGATGTTTACTACCTCGCCTGGTGTACAGGAGATCGTGGGTTCGATGCAGACCCTGACGACCCCTGCTGCTGCTGTATATTTGGAGTTTGCGTGTCTCTCTCCCCGGGTTGTGGATTTGTCTCCAGGCCCTCCACGTTCAGAGTGAACATCACGTGTCTAGAGTCGTTGCCGACTGCTATAAATTCCCACATGGTGATGAGCCACTTCGTTGAGCTACAATCTGCGATCACCAGACCGCTTCTGAAAGACTTCCATAGCAGCTCAGTGGGTTCCTTACCTGGGAACATTTAAAAAAATGTTTGAAATAGTTTAGTTGAAGAATGCACAAACATCAGCACAGAAAGAGGGGCTCGAACCCAGCCAGGCTCCTGGAACTTGTGGCGTGGCGGAGAGGCGGCGTTGGGTGCCCCCCCCCCGCCTGCACACACGTACACACGTGTGTGTGTACGTGTGTGTAGGTGTGTACACACACGTGTGTATGTGTGTACGTGTGTGTAGGTGTGGAGCGATAGTGTAGCGGTTAGCACGCTGCGCTATGAACCCGGCGACACGGGTTCGATTCCCACTCACTGCCAACATCAGTGACAATTATCTGAACCGGTCCTGGGCCTTCCCTAGGTCGACTCAGCCTCAAATGAGTACCTGGTGCGGTGTGTAAACATTGCCACTAGGGAGACAAAGGCGGTCGGGCGTGGTGCTGGCCACCCACCCCCTCGTGTACCGTTCTGGCCTTCATAGGTGCTCGCTAACAGCACTTGCCCCTACAGTCTGTTAAGGCTATACAGGGGATCTCTGTCTTTGTAGGTGTGTACACACACGTGTGTATGCGCATACACACATGTAGGTGTGCACACGCGTGTAGATGTGCACACGCGTGTAGGTGTGTACACACACGTGTGTGTGTAGGTGTGCACACACACACACGTGTGTTTACGTGTACACACATACACACGTGTAGGTGTATACACACGTGTGTATGTGTGAACACGTGTGTGCACGTGTACTGGGGGAGGACAGCGAAACACACAACGCGATTCTAAATCAGCTGTTTGCAATCTTGGACCGGTGGTCGAAACGCGCCTTGAGGTGCGTCTCTTGCACTGTCGTCTGTGCAAGAGGCACCCAACTCGGCCTTGACAGACGTCAAATAATAAAAACCTGCTCCTCTCCCGACTTGTTATTTATTTGTTGTTTTGGTCATCCCCGACTCGCCACGGGCACCCCGCTCGGCTGGTGGTCGCCGCTGAGGTCGAGAGAGCTGCTGCCCATGGATCGCGATGATGGCCGACGTTGTTGTTGCCGTTGTTGCCATTTCCGATGTTGTTGCCATTGTTGTTGTTGTTGTTCCGCGCCCGCCCCGTACCATTCCTTCTGTACGGAGCCGTTCCCGTCGTGCCGTCAAGCGCACCGACGGCCGCTTTACCGAGGTGGCGATATCGGTACTCAAAATGAGCGTCGACTGACCGATCGATCAATGCTCCACTTGCCCGCAGTGGTCCGTCTGGGTGGCTCCTCCGGGCTCGACATCGGCATCGATGATGTAGACACGGGAGAGCGACAGCCTCAAGGCCCCCTTCAAAGAGGGTCCTGCCACGGGTGGGAGAGGTGGCCCCGCTCGACGTTCCCCGCCCGACGGCAAGGACAGAAGCGACCTGGTCATCACGAGTGACGGCTCAACCAAGTGGCTCATCGTCATCGTCGTCATCGTCGTGTGGACATTCATAGCAGCAGCCACACACTCTCAACACGTGACGTTCATTCTAAATGTTGGTGTTGGGGAAAAAGCAGAGCACCCGGAGAAAGATCCACACGGCCGCGGGGAGAAAGTGAAAACAAATATACAGCGAGGGTCAGGCTCAGGATGCAGCCGACGACCTCCTGTATAGCAGGCGAGGTAGTGAACATCTCCTGGCCACCGCGAGATGTTTCAGTGTCTGTGCAAGGAACTCGCCGACAGCTGCCGAGGAGTCTAATCACCGGTGGTGAGTGGAGCACGGCGGTGCAGGAACTTTCACCCCATCGGCGCCCCCCCCCTCCATCCCCCCCTACCACCACCACCCCCCCCCCCCCTATCGCCTTAACAGGCTGTTGGGGCAAGTGCTGTTCGTGAGTAGCAGCACACGAAGCGGTGGGTGGCCAGCACCACGCCCCACCACCTTCGTCTCCCTAGTGGCGATGTTTACACACCGCACCAGGTACTCATTTGAGGCCTAAGGCAGGCCCAGGACCAGTTCGGATAATGAATCTGTCACTGGCGTTGACCGTGAGTGGGAATCAAACTCGTGTCAAAGCTTGCTTCGAATTTGCAGTGCGCTAACCACGACACTACCGCTCACCCCACACAAAGACAAAGATCCCCCGGACAGCCTTCGACAGAATGTTGGGGCAAGTGCTGTTAGCGAGTTCCTATGAAGGCCAGAACGGCACACGAGGGGGTGGGTGGCCAACACCACGCCCGGCCGCCTTTGTCTCCCCAGTGGCGATGTTTACACAGCGCCCCAGGTACTCTGCGCGCTGTGCTCACCACGACACGACCGCTCACCCCGCACAGAGCCCTGTACAGCCTGAACAGGCTCCTTTGTGTAAGTGGCACAGACGCGAGCACGGCGACACGCGGCGCTTCCCACCCTCACCGGCCACGCACCCGAGTCAGTGAAGGGAACGCCGAGTCAACAGGCGCTGCTCTCCTCTCGCCGCGGGGAGGAAGGGGAGCGGAGGAAGAGGACTTCCTCTCATTCCTCTCCTCTTGGCGAGGGAATAGCAACGCCGGCTGTCACAGCGTTCCCTTTATGAATCGGCGCACGGCCGCAACTCCACCAAACCCTAACCACCACCACAACCATGACCACCACCACCACAACCATCACCACAACCACCACAACCACCACCACCACAACCACCACCGTCGGAAGCGCGATCCCCGGCCTCGACGCGGACGCACACTCGTCCCGGCGCTCGTCCCCAGGGCCAGCCGCCCGCCAGCCGAATCTCCATCCCCCCCACGGCGGCGGGTCGGGCGGCCGGAGCTGCGGGCCTCCGCGTGCGCGGCAAGGCCCGGCCCGGCAGCCACCGCCGACGGAGGCCCCCCCCCCGCGACCGGCCGTCCCGAGTCGTCGTCTCAGACCCCGTCGGTCTCGACGATGCAGCGGATGAAGATGGTGTCGTCGCGCACGTAGGCCTGCCGCTGCTGGCCCTGCAGCCGGGCCAGGGGGCAGAAGAGGGGGCAGCCGCTGGCCACGTTCAGGTCGCCCGTGGGGCGCTGGAAGGAGGAGGACGTCACGTCCGGGCGGAAGGCGTCGATCACGTGCTCCCGCCGGTCTTGGTCCAGCAGCATCATCGTCACCTGCGGCGTCGCAGGGGGGGTCGGTCGTGGGGGAGGGTGGGCACGGAGGGTGGGACAGGTTAGGCCTCAACACGGTCAAGGTTCGGCGGCTGGTGAGTGGCTGGGTGAGTGGCTGGCTGAGTGGGTGAGTGGCTGGGTGAGTGGCTGGGTGAGTGGGTGAGTGGCTGGCTGAGTGGGTGAGTGGCTGGGTGAGTGGCTGGGTGAGTGGCTGGGTGAGTGGGTGGGTGAGTGGGTGAGTGGCTGGGTGAGTAGGTGGGTGAGTGGGTGAGTGAGTGGGTGGGTGAGTGGGTGGGTGAGTGGGTGAGTGAATGGGTGGGGAAGTGGGCGAGTGGGTGGGTGAGTGGGTGGGCGAGTGGCTGGGTGAGTGGCTGGGCGAGTGGCTGGGTGGGTCGAGTTGAAACAATCAGAACCTTCACAATTTAAATAGTTTGGCTGCGTGACTCACCATCTCGTGTAACCGCTCAACCATCACCACTCACCCGTTTACTCATTCACTCACTCAACTACCATCTCCCTCACTCGTGCACAATCATCTGGTCTCGTGATCACCTCCCACTGGAGTAGACTTCTCCTGGACATTCAGCAGTTCGCCTGCTTAATCTCTTTTCATTCCTCGATTCAGGCATTACACCCATTCCCTTCCTCTCCCCTCACCCCTCCACTCCTTCCCATCCCTCCCCAAGAGCCCTTTCGTAACCCCACGCGCCCCGTGGTACGGCTTGCACGCCCCTTGCCATTTAAATCACTCTGTTGTTGTTGTTGTTGTCAATGCGTTGAAACTATGTTAGGCGTGCATTGAGCGAAGGCGGCTTGATGCATATAAGATGATAATAATCCACCCCGAGACTCGAGTGAGGCACCTTGTACTTGAACGGCCACGGCAAGAGGGCGTCGTGATCCCCCTTCATGATGACGAAGAACAGCGAGAGGTGGCTGCCACGGCCGGCGCCGTCCCCATTTGGGTAGAGCCGGAGGCACATCTTGTATCCATGCTGGCTTGTGTAGAACGCTGTGTGTGTGTGTGTGCGTGTCCGCGTGTGTGCGTCACGACAAGGTACGGGTTAGTGACGTGGAACGGGACGAGCAAAGACAACTTGTACCACCGCCGGCATCGCCGCGACCGCTCGCTACGCCACGTGGCACCTCGTGACGCCACGTGGCACCTCGTGACGCCACGTGGCACCACGTGGCACCACGGCCGCTTGCTGCGCTGACCGCACGGCTCTGCCCGCGACGCCACGGCACCTCCTGTAACGAGACATTTCTACGCGACGCCACCTCCAGTGACGCGCTTCCTGTAGCGAGTCGCTGCTTTCTGGTGACATCACTTCATGTGACGTCACTTCCTGCTACTGCATGCCACTTGCCATGACATCACCTCCTGTAAATGAGACACAAGCTCACGGTGACATCAGGTTATGGGACACCACTCCCTGCCACAGCACGCCACTTCCTGTAAGATCTCATCACTTCCTGCGGTATTTCATCAGCAAGAACATTTGTTATTGCGCAATCTTACACGAGTCCAGTCCCTCACGAATGCGCATTGATCACGCGCCGCACTCGGCTCTCCGAAACAACATCGTTCTGAGGCTCTTGCAGAACTGGCTCGAACTCATGGATCCCGATCGTGAGCTGGTAGCGGCGTGCGAGGCTCCCACGCGGGTACAGCAGCAGGTCACCGCGAGCCGCGGGTCAGAGTCACATTTGGGTCTCATCACGAATCAAACTCGTGATCGGATCATATTTCGTCACTTCCTCCAATGTCACTTCACGTAATAGCACGGCACTTGCTGTGGCATCTCATCACTTCCCGTGACCCCGATTCCTCCTGCATCACTTGGCATGAAGGCACATCACTTTCCGCTACGCGTAGATTCATGACGACATCGCTTCCCATGACATGGCTTCCCATGACATGGCTTCCCATGACATGGCTTCCCATGACATCGCTTCCCATGACATGGCTTCCCATGACATGGCTTCCCATGACATCGCTTCCCATGACATGGCTTCCCATGACATGGCTTCCCATGACATATTAACATGATTATTCTTCCTTCCATACGGCGTTCGAGAAGCGCCCGGCAACCGGGCGTTCAGTTTGCTCGTCCAATCGGCGTGTGGCATCCCCGTACCCTCCAGCGCAAGCAAACGGATCGTGCCATGCTTCCGTTCTTCCCACGTTGCCGTCCTCGCGATCAGCCGTCAAGCCGCGTTCCTTCCACGCGAGTCGAGGTTGGGGTGGTTCCTGCATCGGGTCGTCCCAGTCACTCGCCGCTTTTGTTCGCGACGTCGCAGGGCCGGACACAATCCGACTTCCCGCGCCACCGATCGCCAAAGTTCCGTCTCGCCCCCCCCCCACCACCCATCATCATCATGCTGCTGCTGTCAAACCCCCAATGGTTTACAATGGTGTCGTGGACCTCACACTGATGATGTCCTATCGGCCAAAGTGACCCCAACCCCTCTGAGAACTAGAGAACACGTTCCAGGTGCCATCAAGATTGCTGGGCTGGTCATGAAGCTCTCAATACCCTCAGGAGCACACGTCCATAGTTTTATTTTGCCGGTGACGACTTGGCTCCAGTGGTGGCGTTTTGGCACTTTGGTGTGCTTGTTGCAGAGAGGCACGCGCTCCGAGCCCAGCCGGCCGCCCTGATGAATACTGCCGGCGAGACTTGGAGAGTAATTCTGCTGCTGTTCACAGTCCGATTCGCCCGGAATGGACGTGAGAGACCCCGCGACGTCGCTCACAAGAGTCGGCCCCGTCTTCGCGATGCCCGCGTCACGCTCCGCCATTCGCCCGCCCAGCGGCGGTGACATCACCACAGGGCTTGCGCCAGGCTAGGTGCACTTTAAGGCCACGTGGAGTGTCGAACGGCCGCTTGTCAAGAGGTTCGCAGGACAGACCCAGGTGGTGCCATGGGTCGACCGACTTGAGATGACCGATGCACCACCCGTGTCCGCTACTGTGCACGCGCACCGCAGCAGCAGCAGCAGCGGCAATGGCCGCGTCCCCACTGGCAGCAGACGGATGCCCCAACGTCGCTCGTGAAGAGCTCTCACCTGAGTTTTGGCCTGGGTGGTGCTGGTGGTGGAGGAGGGGGGAGGGCTCAGGGTTACAATTAAAATTAGTTGCTAACATCAAAGACAAAGATGCCCCCGTAGAGCCTCAACGGAACTTGTTGGGCGAGTGCCGACAGCGAGTAGCAGTGCCTATGAAGGCCGGAATGACACGCGAAGGGGCAGGTCGGTGGCAGGCACCATGCCGGCTGCATTTGTCTCCCTAGCGGCGATCTTTATGCACCGCGTCAGGTTCTCGTTTGAGGCCGATTCGAGCTTTGGGAGGGCTCAGGACTGATTCAGATAATCATCACCGATGTTGGTTGGCTGCGAGTGGGAATGGAACTCGAGATTGTAGCCGGGCTCATAGAGCAGCGCGCTAACCACTACACCACCGCTCCCCACATCCGAACATCGCCACCACCTTCACTATTGTCCTCGCCATCATCACGATCGGTAATATCCTCACCACCACCAGCAGCAATGTCTATCATCAACTTCATTACCATCAGCTAATGCCTCTCATCATCATTATCACCATCATCACCATCACGGACATCCTAAACAACGACAACGATTTCCCGTGTAGTCTTTAACAGACTGTTGGGGCGAGTAGCAGCACCTATGAAGGCCGGCACGGCACACGAGGTGGTGGGTGGCCAACACGATTGTGCCTTGGCCCACCTTTGTCTCCCCAGTGTTCATTTCCACACACCGCACCAGGTCTTCTCATGAGGCCTGGGGACAAGCCCAGAACCGCTTCAGATAACGACCACTCCCCACAACTTCAACGCCAACACTACCAGCACCATCAGGCAGCCAACATCCATCATCATCATCATGGACACCATCATGCAATGTCTATACAGCAGCCAGTGCCTGCCGTCATCATCATCATCAATATCCTAACCACCAAAACCACCACATCCAACATCATCACCATCGCGACGGCAAGACGTTAACTACCTCGCTTGGTCGGGATCGAACCCACGACCTCGTGGATACCAGACAAGGTAGTTACCATCTCATAGCCACCGTGCTGCTGCTGCTGCCATCGTAGCGGTGACAGGGCACAGAAGAAGTCTGTGCAGCCCGTGGCTGGCGCCGGGGTGGACGGGGCGGAGGAGGAGGAGGAGGGGACGGCGGCGGCGGTGGGGGTGGGTGGGTGGGGGGGTGGTGGGCAACCTGGCGAGTAGAAGGCAAGGTTGCGCCCTTCGCTGGCGTCGCGACTGCGCTGGCGGAAGCTGGAGATCTTCCACAGGAAGACTCCGTCGAAGGTGGCCGCCTCGAGCGAGAGCAGGCGGCCCCGCAGCTCGGCCAGCGCCGCCTCCTTCGCCGCCAGCTGGCGCTCCACCTCCCGCATCTGAGCACGGGGGGAGCACGCAGAGAGAAGACCTGCGGTGACGGTGGTGGTGGTGACGACTGCGGTGCTGACGGAGATGGTGCTGATGGTGGTGATGGAGATGGTGGAGATGGTGGTGATAATGGAGATGGTGGTGGCGACGATCACCGCCACCGCCACCGCCGCTACCTTGGCCTGTGCCGCGTGCAGCTGCTGCTGCTCCTCCCGCCGCTGGCGCTCCGTCTCCCGCTGCGCCACCGCCACCCTCTCCGTCTCGCGGTCCAGCACCTTGACGATGTTCTCGAACGCCGTGAGCATGCGCTCCACGCGCGCCAGCCGCCCCAGCACCACCGCCGCACCACCCTCCTCCTCCGCCCCTCCCTCGGCCGGCGGCGCCGCCGCCGCTCCCTTCTTGCGACCGCCCCTCGCGGCGCCGGCTTGCCCCCGTCGTGGCGATACTGACGCCAAGCTGGCGCTGTTTATCCCGGAGTCCGCCTTGTTCCAGCTGCCGCTGCCGCCGCCGTCGCCGCCGTTGACGTCGAGCCGTTCCAGGAGCTCCTCCAGCTTGCGCACGCGCGACTCGACGGCGCCAACTCGCCGGGGGACGGCGCCGGCGCCGGCACCGGCGGCCCCGTTCTCGAGGACGGAGCGCTCCGACGCGGGGGGGACGAGGAGCGCCGAGCGCAGGGACACGAGCGGCGCCAGCAGCAGCCGCAGGTGAAGCGGCACCGCCGCCTCCTCGTGCCGGGAGAGCTCACCACGCGAGACCTGGTGCCGTGGGGGGGGGGGGGGGGGTGCGGACAGCGTCGTTGCCACGGCGACGGAGCGAGAGAGCGCAGTCGTCGTGGCGATCGTTGCCGCGGTGACGACGATGTGAGGCTCGTGGCGGCGATGAGAGCGGCGATGGGAGCGGTGATGATGACGATGATGGGAGCGGCGATGATGACGATGATGGTACCAGTTGAAAGGGTAAAAACCTATTACTATATTTTGCCACTGGTAAAGGAGGTCTCATAATGTAAATGCTTACCCCGAGCTCTCAATACTCTGATAGTGCGCTGTCTTTGAGTTGTACGCCTTTTGGCGGCATCTGGTCCAACACCAATGGAGACTAGGCTCTAAGAAAAGCTGTCTCGGGTGTGGACCAATCAACTTCAAGGACAGTGCATATCATTATCATCATCAGAGTTGTTTCTTTTTGTTTGCATTTTGACTGCTTGTGTTGTGGTTATTGCAAACATGATGCCTTGTATAAAGGTGTCAGTTTTTGTACCAGTTGAAAGGGTAAAAACCTATTACTATAATGGTAATGGTCAAGCTGATGAGCATAACGCTACTGCTCCGACCGATGCCAATCACGACGACGATGTTGGTGATGGCACCCAGGCAATTGCTCGGCAGCAATCGCTCGTCGGTAACCGACGCGCGACAGGCATCACGTGACCACCGCCGCCGCCACAAGTGCGTGCTGGAATCCATCCGTGCGGCGCTCACCTTGACCGTGCAGCCGACGTCCTGGAAGGGGCAGGGCAGGGTGGAGAACTCGCAGTGCTCCTCGTGCACTGACTGAGACGCACACGCAGGGGAGAGAGTCAGGGGAGAGAAAGCCGAGATGGGAGGGGAGAGGGCAGCGATGGGAGAAGGGAGGGAGGGTGGAGAGGGGGGAGAGAGGGGGGGTAGAGGGAAGTGAGGAGAAGAGAGGAGATATTAGAGAGGAGAAAGAAGAGAGAGATAGAGAGGGAGGGAGTGCAGAGGGAGGGGAGAGGGTGTTCGTTGCGTGTCGCGCTAACGACTGCACCACCGCTCCCCCCCATCTATAATGCTACACCCCCCACCACCACCACCGCATGCATAGCAGTCCAGGGACCCTATCCCCCCCACCCCCCCAATGTCAATCCCTGAACGCGGTCCCAGGCGTGGCGCCCGCCCCTCCCTCCGCCCCCCCCCTCACCCAGTACTCCTTGACGGTTCCGGTCCAGGGGCAGCCTTCGTTAACGCAGCGAGCGGAAAGGCAGTCGATCTCCCGTTGAGCCGCCCTGTCGTGAAAGGCCTGCCAAAGCATCATCATCATCATCATCGTCGTCGTCAGCAAAATCATCATCAGCAGCAGAATTACCATCATCCGCATGAGCAGCAGTGGCATCATCATCAGCAATATCATCATCAGCAGCATTAACATCACCATCGGCTTAAAGCTTTCGCGACTGCAGGGATTCATCTTCTTGGTTCTTTCGTGACTTTACCGAAAGAACCAAGAAGATCACCATCGGCGTCAACGTGATCAGCATCCAAAGCATTATGTACCCGTAGCATTATGTATGTTGAACTTTTTTCGCACCGTACGTAGTCAACCGTGCTAATTGGATGTGCGGGGGGGGGGGAAACAAACTAAACCCAAAGCAGTTCTCACGAAATTAGTTCGTCAATCTAAATCATTTAAAAGTGCATAGCTCCAGTAGCTTCCTAATATTGGAAGGAAACAGCGTTCCAGACGGCCGCCGAAGGGCATCTGAAAGTGCGCGCGACACGGTGGACCGTGTTTGTTCGATGGCGAGCGAGCGAGCAGCAGTGGCGTCAATACTTGAACAGCGCCAACCGGAATCATCAGCTGGCACCGCTCAGAGCCTGGCTTCCAACTCGAGTTTAGCCGCTGCCTGTGGTCAAACAGTGTCACCCTCAAGTGGTCTCAGGCCCCATCACCGGCGACTCGCAGACTGTTAAGAGCTACACGGATATCTACGCAGACTTGCCTAGAGACTCAACGGCTTACACGCCGATGCACCAGACTCTAAAACGAGAGACACACGGACTCGCACAGAGACACGCAGTCTCGCAGAGGGAACCACAAACTCGAATAGACTGAGTTGCGATTAAACTGGGTTCTCAAGCGCCGAGGGTTGGTGGCTTCAGCCCGGTATCAGACGACTCGCGTAGAGACCCACAGACTTACGTGGAGGCTAAAAGTGTCACAGACTCATAGACTCGCACGGGGACGCACAGACCAACACAGAGATCCAAAGACTCACAGAAAGACTAGACCCACAGACTCAGTGGATGGTCTCAGCCCGGCCACCTAAGACTGCACAGACAAAAACACAAACCGTCACAGGTGTGCTCCTCATGCGGATAAAGGTAAAAAAAAAATGTCTATTCTTCTCGGACACAAGGTGATGCAATGCTCGCTGCAGAGATTACAATGGAACATCTCACATTGCTGCCTTGCGTTGAACCAATGGTTCAAGGCAATCCTGACCCTGCTGATGAGGACCCTGAATGTCGAAACCGGTCCAGAGTTTTGCTTGTGTGAGACACTAGCTGTGTGTGTGAGACACGGGCTGTGTGTGTGTGTGACACGGGCTGTGTGAGACACGGGCTGTGTGTGTGAGACACGGGCTGTGTGAGACACGGGCTGTGTGTGTGACACGGGCTGTGTGTGTGAGACACGGGCTGTGTGAGACACGGGCTGTGTGTGCGAGACACGGGCTGTGTGAGACACGGGCTGTGTGTGTGAGACACGGGCTGTGTGTGACACAGGCTGTGTGTGTGAGACACGGGCTGTGTGTGTGAGACACGGGCTGTGTGAGACACGGGCTGTGTGTGCGAGACACGGGCTGTGTGAGACACGGGCTGTGTGTGTGAGACACGGGCTGTGTGAGACACAGGCTGTGTGAGACACGGGCTGTGTGTTTTAGACAGGGGCTGTGTGTGGCTGTCTGTGTCTGGCTGTACCTTCGTGTTGTCGAGAATGGACAGGTGGGGGTCGAACACGTTTTCATCTGTGCATTTGGCGCAGGTCATGTGCCTCTGCCTGCCGAGGAGAGACAAAGGGGGGCGCCACGGCAGCGAGATGTTGACTACCTCGCCTGGTACACTGGAGGTCGTGGGTTCGATCCCGACCCTGACGCCTGCTGCTGCTGTGTATTTGGAGTCTGCGTGTCTCTCTCCCCCTGGTTTTTCTCCGGGTCTCCTGGTTTTCCCCTCAACGTCACGCGCTCACAGTATTTGGCTGCTCTAAATTTCCACGTGATGAGCCACTTCGTTGAATTGTCATCTGTGATAGCCACGTCACTTCTGAAAAAGAGCTAAATAGTTCCCTGGGGGCCTTACCTGGTAAAATAATATACGCTGCCAAGCCTGGTGGTGTTCATTCAGACGCTGTCTTTCCGACAGACCTGTTCTTCACCTGAGGACGGCTGCTTGCGTTGTGGGCGAAACGTCGTGAGAATTGTATTTTATTATGTTTAATTATTATTATTTAATTATCTCCCTTCTACGTGATGACTTTACCGAAAGAACCAAGAAGAGGAAAATAAAAACAGTTTTAGTGATTAGTTTAGTTTAGAGTCACAGGCCTGGCAGCATCGACAACGATTCTCACGGGAGAGTGAGAGCATCTCTTGGCTCACCGGACCAGCTGAGCCAGGCAGGCCTGGCAGTAGCGGTGGCCGCACTGCGTCTGCACCGGCGTGCGCAGCAGCAGGCGGCAGTGGCAGCACAAGTGCTTGGGGTCGGGCGCTGAGGAGCCAAGGATGGCCGGGTTCAATCCAGCCGCAGCCTCCGCCGTCTCGTCCCCCTCGCCGTCCTGGCCGGCGGCGTCCCTCCCGGCGATCGACTCCGGCCCATGTGCGCTCGCTGGCACCGCGTGGGCCATGCACGGCTCAGAGGGGCCTGCAGGGAGGGAGGGAGGGAAGGGAGGGAGGGAGGTCAGGCAGGTGCCTTCGCCGCTATGGTGCTGGTAGCGCAGCAGCAGGGGATCTGGTGATGGGTTTTTGAGGGTGATTTGGGTTTCTTGTTGGTGTCTATGAACACAGTAACACACAATGGGACAAATGTTACACGGGAAACCCGCGTTATAGCTTTGATTAAAAAAGGGAGCACATAAGCAAACCAAAAAAATAAAAAAAACGACATGATGAATGAAGTAAAGTGCCGAAAGACCGAGCATCTTTCTCGTCTGATCGTTATAAAAAAAACAAAAAGAGGGAGCGAGGGAGGGTAATTGAGCACGTGGTGTACTGGCCACCCACCCGCACACTAACAGCACTTGCTTCAGCAGCCCATGTGGGCGACACAGCGGGGGAGGATCTTTGCCTGTGTCTGTGTGTGCCATTGTTCTTCACAGTCAAGCCACTGTGTTAGTCTATGGGTCAGTGTTAGTCTATGGGTCAGTGTTAGTCTATGGGTCAGCATTAGTCTATGGGTCAGTGTTAGTCTATGGGTCAGTGTTAGTCTATGGGTCAGCGTTAGTCTATGGGCCAGTGTTAGTCTATGGGTAGTGTTAGTCTATGGGTCAGTGTCTACAGTAAACCCACTCAATGGAGGAACAGCGACACGACACAGACTCTCTGCTGAAGCTCTCTTGTCGTGGCGAGCAGCAGCAGCAGTGAGACCTCCACTTTCGCTTCTCGTTCCTGAACCGTATTGTTGCTGCTATAAATAAATATTATTTATTTATTATTATTCAGGTGGAGCACACCGACTTTTCTGTGAATTTGTATTATTCTTTAAATTCCCCTGCCCGCCCCCATATCCGTGGGATTCGTCCGCCCATATCAGATGATAGCGAAGGCGGCGGCGGCAGCAGCCACTACGCGGTGATGAGCCGTCACTACCAACAATTTCCCGAGCTTTGCGGTCCTCTTTACGTCAAGGTGTTCTCGGCACTGATCAACGACAAGTGTTCGCAGTGCGAGAAAAAACCGGAGCACCCGGAGAAAACCCACGCGTGCGTGCGTGTGAGAGGGAAACACTCGATCCTGTACAGACGGAACAGGTAAGAGAGTCCACGGGTTTGCTCTTACCGCCTTCTGGCAGAACCAGTGTTTAATGCCCACGGCAAGGGAGTTCCACGACCGTGTGTGATCCACCAAACGTCGCAGGCTGCACAGTGTTGCATTACAAGCCAGGTGGCACCACCACCACCACCCAGCTAAAATAAATAATATTTTTCTTCACGAACATTTTCTAAATATCACTATTACGCTCATTTTCCCAGCATCTTGGCGAGTCGCGCTTCAAAAAAGGGATGCTGCTTAGCTCAATGGGCTTTTCTTGGGAAATCAACTTCTGATTCAGATGGTTTTTCCAGAGGTGGGGGTTGGGACTTTTTTGGTAATGTATGATCTCAACGGAGTGATTTGCATGGTAATTGTTCAGCCTTGGGGATGTTTTGGCCAATACTAGGTTACACTGTTAGTGGTTACTCTTTAGCACCCATGCAGAACTACCATAAAGTGGCGGTGACGTGACCACAGCGCTTGTGCCAGGTTCGATGCACTTTAAGTGCACACTTTGAGGCCACGTGAAGTATCGATAGCTCTCTGCTAGCCGGTCACGGGACAGACTGACCGAGATGACTAGCTGTTGCACCACCACCTGTGCTAGCCATTGTGCCAACTCGCTGTATTTTATCCGCCCAGTGCAACGCTCGTTGTTGTGAGCGTCGCTTCTCCAACCACTGCTTTTGTTGGGAGGGCGACTGCCTCTACTGCCCAGTAGCGTTTTACAGGGAGCTCCCCCACAGAGGCCAATCTTGACACCGCTGGTCGCCAAGTCCACTCAGCTCCACATACTCCTGTACCGCATCAGTCCATCTCTTCTCTAGCTTATGCTGCGCCCGTTTAGCCTCCTGTATCCGGTCAAAAGGAAGCTGCTTGGGCATGCGGTGGCTGGGCATGCATGCGACATGACCCAGCCAACGCAGCCTTGCCTGCTGGAAGAGCTCACTGATGGGAATGTGTCCTGACCTTTCAAGGATTTGTGAGATCCTCACACTATCCAGCCTGGTGGAACAAACCCAGGATGGATCGCAGGCAGGCCTAAAAGTTTTAAACTGGCATAGATATTCCATGAGAAGATATAAACTACCCGCCTGGTACACAGGAGGTCGTGGGTTCGATCCCGACCCTGACACCTGTTTATTTGGAGTTTGCGTGTCTCTCTTGCTCTCTCATCACCATCACTGCGGGCAATATACCGTTCCGTGGTAGTCAAGCGGTAGCGGAGGTCTCGGTTTACAGGTTGATCTACATTCCCACCCTCACCTATCGTCATGCGTTTTGAGTAATGACCTAAAGGATGAGATCGCGGGTACAAGGGGCCAAATTGGGGTTTCTCCGTGATCGGGTCAGGAGTTCGGTAATCCGGGAGAGCCTCAGAGTCGAGCCGCTGCTCCTCCGGATCGAGAGGAGCCAGTTGAGGTGGTTCGGGCACCTTGAAAGGATGCCCCCCCCCCCCCCCCCCCCCCCGGTAGACTCCACCTGGAGTTCTATCAGGCAGCAGCAGCAGAAGCGTCCCACTGGGCGAAGAATTCGAGACCGGCCCAGGACCACGCTGGCGGTGGGACGGTGTCACTCAGCTGGCCTGGGAACGACTGGGAATTCCTCAGGAAGAGCTACAGTCTTTGTATAGTTTATAGTAGTGTATAGTGTATACTAGTGTATAGTGTAGTGTATAGTAGTGTATAGTGTATAGTAGTGTATAGTTTATAGTAGTGTATAGTGTATAGTAGTGTATAGTTTATAGTAGTGTATAGTGTAGTGTATAGTAGTGTATAGTTTATAGTAGTGTATAGTGTAGTGTATAGTTTCTAGTAGTTTATAGTAGTGTATAGTGTAGTGTATAGTTTATAGTAGTGTATAGTAGTGTATAGTTTATAGTAGTGTATAGTAGTGTATAGTTTATAGTAGTGTATAGTGTAGTGTATAGTGTAGTGTATAGTTTATAGTAGTGTATAGTTTATAGTAGTGTATAGTGGTGTAGTGTATACTTGTGTATAGTTTACAGTAGTGTATAGTAGTGTAGTGTGTAGTAGTGTATAGTAGTGTAATGTATCGTAGTGTAGTGTATAGTAGTGTAATGTATCGTAGTGTAGTTTATAGTAGTGTATAGTGTAGTGTAATGTCTGTCCCCAGCAAGAGAGAGGTGTGGACCGTCCGACTCACCACGCTGCCCTCACCGGGGACAGGCGGACTGACCACTGAGAGACGAACGAGAAGCGACTTCGTTACCATTTCTGAGCGCAGCCACATCGCTTTCGAACACGAGCTACATCGCTTGGCGGTGGGCCTCAGCTGGTCAAATAAAAGTGTCATCGTGTATAATTCGAGGGCTCCACGTTTGTCAAGCGCAGAGAGACCATCACCACATCACTCTCTCTCACGAACTCAGCCTCATTAAAGTTAGTTCTTGTGTGAGATCGCGTTGATAGGAATGTGCCACCGAGGCCTCTTCCGAGTTCTCAGCTAAATCATCTAAACCAACTTGAGCCCACGTCTTGTCTGATGCTGGGCCGTCTTCAACAATTGACAAAGCAGCAGACAAACCTCCATCAGTCTTATTATTTATATATACCGTATATCACACTCGTCCTGGCACATATTTAAAACTTATAGTCTTATTCACGCCTCGATATATGTATAATTGTGTTAAAATGTATTTTCTACGTAAGCCCGAGGAGGCATTTTCCTAAATCGCCTACCGCGATGCAGGCAGCCTTATGTGGACTGCGTGTCCAGGCAAGACGGGAGGAAGGGACCAGGCCTCAGGCCTTCTCAGGGTTTAAACTTACTGTGTTTACTATTTAAACGTTGTCTAAACAGTACAAAACTTTACTGCTTGGAAATTCAACAGCCATTTACCTCAAGGGAACTTCCTTCTCTAAGCTTAAGTTAGTAATATAATTATATTACTATTACTGCACTGTACGTCGTTGGAAGCGTTCATTTTCATCCATACTTCACCACCCCGGTCCATTAAACTGGTTGGTGAATTGTAATTAAACTTGATTCGATTCGCCACTGATGAAAGCCGCGGGGAGAATACAAGGTGAGTGTGTTCCTCTCTCCCTATAGAGTAATTAAAATATAAATATACTATAGCAGTGAAATAACCATAGTGTACTCACCTGCAGATGAGGGTGTCAGTAAAAGTGTTTTACTCATCAACATGTCCTCCCCTACATTGGGAAAGCACTGCACAGTACACAAGATCTGCTCAGTACACTCTGTACAGTACACAAGCTGTGCACAGTACACAAGGTCTGCGCAGTACACAAGCTCTGCGCAGTTCCGATCATTGACCGTGGGACTCCACGAAGTCTTCCCGATGTCGGGAAATCCCCGCCCACTGCTACAACGACGCGAGGTGCTGAGAGGGGAATCCCCTTCAACCCCCACCCACCACAGCCCCCACCCACCACACACCCCACACACCCCCAACAACCCCCCCCAATCACCCCCCACAACCCCCCCACCACACCCCCCCCCCCACAACCCACCCCCCCACAACCCCCCCCCCCCACAACCCCCAACCCACACCCCCTCACCGCACACCCCACCCAACCCCGCCAACCCCCCCCCCCACACCACCCCCCCCAACCCCCCCCCCACCACAACAACAACAACCGCCGTTCGCCACTAAGTGGCGGTGACGTCACCACGACGCTTGTGCCAGGCCATGTGCACCTTGAGGCTACCACGTGAAGTGTCGAACGCCCGCTGGCAGGAGGTCACGGGGCAGACCCAGTTGCTACGGGTCGACTGACCGAGATGACCGAGATGACTGGCTGATGCACCACCTGTGCCCCCTACTGTGCCAACTTGTTGTGCTTTATCCACCCGGCGCTCCGCTCGTTGTTGTGAGCGTCGCTCCTCCGCCCTCCGTTGTTGTTGGAGGGCGACTGCCTCCAATTGCCCAGTAGCGTCCTTCACGAACCTCCTCCACAGAGGCCGATCTTGACACCGCTGGTACCAGTCATCGGCAAGTCCACTCAGCTCCACGTCCTCCTGTACCACATCACTCCATCTCTTCTCCAGCCCGTGCCGCGCCCGTTTAGCCCCCTCGATCCGGCCGAACAGAAGCTGTTTAGGCATGCGGTGGCTGGACATGCGGGCTACATGACCCAGCCAACGCAGCCTTGCCTGCCGGAGGAGCTCACCGATGGGACTTTGTCCAGATCTTTCCAGGATTTGTGAGCTCCTCACACAATCCAGCCTGGTTAAACCCAGGGTGGATCGTAGGCAGGCCAGCCTAAATGTTTCCAACCGGCGAAGATGCTCCATTAGGGGGGTCCACGTTTCGCAAGCGTAGGGAAGGGAGGGAATGACCATGGCCGAGAAGACATGAAGCTTCGTGCGGAGCGACAGACCAGGTAGCTTTCACGCAGCGTTACGCAACCGATGAAAAGATATTGCCGCTCGACTGATTCGGAGTGAGACCTCTGCTGTTAAAACGGAGCTGGTCATGAGCACACTGCCCAGGTATGGGAAACCCTCCACTCTCCACTACTGCCCCATCATCGATTGGGAGTTGTGGGAGTGGAGTGTCCGATAGTACAAAATACCCAGGCAGGTGCTTCGTTTTGGTGGGGCTGATGGTAAGGCCCCACTTCTTAGTGGCACACTCCAGTCTCAGCAGCAGCGTCTCCAACTCCTCCTCTGAATGAGCAGCAATTACCAAATCATCAGCATACATAACGTGGTTGACCAATAGGCCCAGGGGGTTTCGTCAGCAAACAAACACACGTCTGAGGCCACCACCATCACCACCATCACCACCACCATCTGAGGACACCACCACCATCACCACCACCATCACCACCACCACCACCATCACCACCACCACCATCTGAGGATACCACCACCACCATCACCACCACCACCACCATCTGAGGACACCACCACCATCACCACTATAACCACCACCATCACCACCACCATCACCACCACCATCACCACCACCATCTGAGGATACCATCACCACCACCACCATCACCACCACCATCTGAGGACACCACCACCACCATCACCACCATCACCACCACCATCTGAGGACACCATCACCACCACCACCATCACCACCACCATCTAAGGACACCACCATCACCACCACCATCACCACCACCATCTGAGGACACCACCACCACCATCACCACCACCATCACCATCTGAGGACACCATCACCATCACCATCTGAGGACACCATCACCACCACCATCTGAGGACACCACCACCACCATCACCACCATCACCACCACCATCTGAGGACACCATCACCACCACCACCATCACCACCACCATCTAAGGACACCACCATCACCACCACCATCACCACCACCATCTGAGGACACCACCACCACCATCACCACCACCATCACCACCACCATCACCATCTGAGGACACCATCACCATCACCATCTGAGGACACCATCACCACCACCATCTGAGGACACCACCACCACCATCACCACCATCACCACCACCATCTGAGGACACCATCACCACCACCACCATCACCACCACCATCACCACCACCATCTGAGGATACCATCACCACCACCACCATCACCACCACCATCTGAGGACACCACCACCACCATCACCACCATCACCACCACCATCTGAGGACACCATCACCACCACCACCATCACCACCACCATCTAAGGACACCACCATCACCACCACCATCACCACCACCATCTGAGGACACCACCACCACCATCACCACCACCATCACCACCACCATCACCATCTGAGGACACCATCACCATCACCATCTGAGGACACCATCACTACCACCATCTGAGGACACCACCACCACCATCACCACCATCACCACCACCATCTGAGGACACCATCACCACCACCACCATCACCACCACCATCTAAGGACACCACCATCACCACCATCACCACCACCATCTGAGGACACCACCACCACCATCACCACTATAACCACCACCATCACCACCACCATCACCACCACCATCACCATCACCATCTGAGGACACCACCATCATCACCACCACCATCTGAGGACACCACCACCACCATCACCACCGCCTCACGAAGTAAACGCGACCATACCTGGTGTTGGAGAATGGCGAGAGGTCCATACAATCCGAGGCACAGCAGCCCCAAGGATGCTGATCGGTGAAACTGTGTTCCGGTTTCAGGATGTGAATGCTCAAGACACAGCACACGGGCTCACATAAATAAATAAATTCCGCGGTAACCCCCCACCCACGTAGGGGGAGCTGTAAATCCCCAAATACACAGCAGCAGCAGCAGGCATCGTCAGGGTCGGTACCGAGCCCACGGCCTTCTGTACACCAGGCGGGGTAGTCAACATCTCGCCACCGTGATGATGATGAGAGAGAGACGCAAACTCCAATATACAGCAGGAGCAGCAGCAGGCGTCAGGGTCGGGATCGAACCCACGACTTCCTGTACACCAGGCGAGGTAGTCAACATCTAGCCACCGTGATGATGATGAGAGAGAGACGCAGCAGCAGGCATCGCCAGGGTCTGTACCGAGCCCACGGCCTCCTGCACACCAGGCGAGGTAGTCAACATCTCAGTACCGAGCCCACGACCTCCTGCACACCAGGCGAGGTAGTCAACATCACAGTCCCGAGCCCACGGCCTCCTGTACACCAGGCGAGGTAGTCAACATCTCAGTACCGAGCCCACGGCCTCCTGTACACCAGGCGAGGTAGTCAACATCTCAGCATCGAACCCACGGCCTCCTGTACACCAGGCGAGGTAGTCAACATCACAGTCCCGAGCCCACGGCCTCCTGCACACCAGGCGAGGTAGTCAACATCTCAGCATCGAACCCACGGCCTCCTGTACACCAGGCGAGGTAGTCAACATCTCAGTACCGAGCCCACGACCTCCTGCACACCAGGCGAGGTAGTCAACATCACAGTCCCGAGCCCACGGCCTCCTGTACACCAGGCGAGGTAGTCAACATCTCAGTACCGAGCCCACGGCCTCCTGTACACCAGGCGAGGTAGTCAACATCTCAGCATCGAACCCACGGCCTCCTGTACACCAGGCGAGGTAGTCAACATCTCAGCATCGAACCCACGGCCTCCTGCACACCAGGCGAGGTAGTCAACATCTCAGTACCGAGCCCACGACCTCCTGCACACCAGGCGAGGTAGTCAACATCTCAGTACCGAGCCCACGACCTCCTGCACACCAGGCGAGGTAGTCAACATCTCAGTACCGAGCCCACGACCTCCTGCACACCAGGCGAGGTAGTCAACATCTCAGTACCGAGCCCACGACCTCCTGCACACCAGGCGAGGTAGTCAACATCTCAGTACCGAGCCCACGGCCTCCTGTACACCAGGCGAGGTGGTCAACATCTCAGTACCGAGCCCACGGCCTCCTGTACACCAGGCGAGGTGGTCAACATCTCAGTACCGAGCCCACGACCTCCTGTACACCAGGCGAGGTAGTCAACATCTCAGTACCGAGCCCACGACCTCCTGCACACCAGGCGAGGTAGTCAACATCTCAGTACCGAGCCCACGACCTCCTGCACACCAGGCGAGGTAGTCAACATCTCAGTTCCGAGCCCACGGCCTCCTGCACACCAGGCGAGGTGGTCAACATCTCAGTACCGAGCCCACGGCCTCCTGTACACCAGGCGAGGTAGTCAACATCTCAGTCCCGAGCCCACGGCCTCCTGCACACCAGGCGAGGTAGTCAACATCTCAGTCCCGAGCCCACGGCCTCCTGTACACCAGGCGAGGTAGTCAACATCTCAGTACCGAGCCCACGACCTCCTGCACACCAGGCGAGGTAGTCAATATCTCATAGCCACCGTGGGTCTCACGACTGGGCCGCACTGGCGATCAGGGCGGTGTTTGTGCGTGAACACCGGTGACCATTATTACAACCGGTGTTTGGCCTCCCCTAAGTTGACTCAGCCTTAAATACGTACCTGGGACGATGTGGAAAGGGGCCGTCCATAAATGACGTCACGCACCTAGGGGGGGGGGTCAGACATTTGTGACGATGTGTGACGGGGGGGGGGTGAGAAATGTGACGTCACAACAAAATGCGCAACTTTAAATAAATAGACAACACGTTCTACTTAATTAAATAGACTTGGTAATAAATATTTTCTCCTACAACATCAGAGTGCAGCAGCGCCACATTAAACACGCACTACAATGACAATAGTTTAAAGCGATTTGAAGCATGTTTTATTTTTTTTTTGGGGGGGGGAGGGGGCAGAGCTTTGTGACGTTATATTTGAGGGGGGGGTCTGACTTTTTGTGACGCCGTGTGACGAGGGGGGGGGGTAAGAAATCGTCCGAAATCGCGTGACGTCATTTATGGACGGCCCCTAAGTCG